AGCAGTCAAGTGCCTTAGGCACCATGCTACCAGAGCTCCATAGTGATACCGCCTGGGAAACCCAAGGAGGGGTCGCTATGAGTTGGATCTGACTCGACAGCAGTGAGTTTGGTTTTGGTTTGGTCTAACTTAACCTTCTGGGACACTCTATTGGCAGAACAGGTACTAACTAATCCTCATTCAACATTCATCCAGCAGTTCCTTCACTGAACACAGCTATAAGGGGTTGAGCAGAGAGGGATGATTAACTTGAAAATTAGTGTTAGAAATGTCCTGCTTCCCATTTCAGGATGAGAAATGTTGGAAACTTGGCAACTTGTCTCTGTTGAACACCTCCACTTTTCAGAAAGTTATTACTTAAACAAGGTACAAAAAAAAAAAAAAAAGGTATGGGAGTTGTACTTCAGACCAATTTTCTTCTCTTGAAGAAATTCTACCTCATGGAGTCAATGAAGTATGCAATCCCTTGGAAAAGACAGCCAGTTAAATATCTGAGACTGTGGCACTGTGGTTAAAGTGCTCGGCTGCTAACCGAAAGGTTGGCGGTTTCTCCCATGGGAGAAAGATGTGGAATTCTGTTTCCATAAAGATTTACAACCTTGGAAACCCTATGGGGCAGTTCTACTCTGTCCTATAGGGCCATTATCAGTTGGAATTCAGTTCTACTGCCATGTGTATGGATATGCGGAAGTTGGATCTGGAAGGTCTGTGGACAGTAGTAACCAGGTCTAGAGAAAAGTGGTGAAGGAGAACATTTTTTGGGCTGAGGTCGCTGGAGAAAAGTTCAGGAGGTCGGAATCTTGGCCTTAGGCTATGAGGAAGAAGCTTGGGGACAACTAACTGAGTCACCCTGGCACTGCCTGGATATAAACGCCCTGGATGCCCTGCAGGATCGTTCCCATAGTGGTTCCTCTGCCATTGCAAAATTGCCCAGAAGGGAAGTGAGGGGGATGGTTGGGAGGAAGAGGTAGGGAGGGAACCAATGTTCATCGGAGGAGGAAACAGTGAAAAAACAGGATTGCATAAATTCTTAGAGCCCTCAAGAGCTGGGGCAGATCTGCGCGCGGAACCTGGAAGACTGTGAGTGCTCTTGTACAGGAAAGAAGTCAAAGCCCTTTCCACAGCGCGCCAAGGGCGAGGAGACTTTGAGGACTTAACTGCCATGGTGAGTGTAGCGCCTGCGGGCAGACCCGGGAACTCACTGGGATTTCCAAGGGTGGACTCGGCTACCTAGACCTCCTCTCTCTCCCCAGGAGCTCTCACTCTGCCTGCTGCTGCTGCTGCTGCTGCTTCCACTGCTGCTGTGCTCCCCGGCGGCTACACCAGAGCCCTGCGAACTGGACGATGAAGATTACCGCTGCGCCTGTAACTTCTCGGATCCGCAGCCCGACTGGTCCAGTGGAATCCAGTGTATGGCTGCTGTTGAGGTGGAGATCCGTGGGGGCGGCCGCAGCCTAGACCAGTTTTTGAAGAGCGCTGATATTAACCCGCGGCAGTATGTTGACATGGTCAAGGCTCTGCGCGTGCGGCGGCTCACGGTGGGCGCTGCCCGGGTTCCTGCCCGGCTGCTGTTCGCAGTTCTGCGTGTTCTCGGTTACTCCCGCCTCCAGGAATTAACCCTCGAGGACCTCGAGGTAACTGGCTTGTTTCCGTCGCCTTGTCTGGAAGCTGCGGGGCCTGCGCTCTCCACTCTCCGCCTCCGCAACGTGTCGTGGGCCACAGGTGGTGCCTGGCTGGCCGAGCTGCAGCAGTGTCTCAAGCCGAACCTCAAAGTACTGACTATTGCGCAAGCACACCCGCTTGCCTTTTCCTGCGAGCAGCTCCGCACTTTCCCGACTCTCACTACTCTAGACTTGTCCGACAACCCTGCACTGGGCGAGCGCGGGCTGGCGGCGGCTCTCTGTCCTCACAAATTCCCGGCCCTCCAGGATCTGGGGCTGCGCAACACGGGCATAGAGACACCTACCGGCGTGTGCTCTGCGCTGACCGCTGCTGCTATTCAGCCCCACCTCCTAGACCTCAGCCAGAACGCCCTGCGCCCCTTCGCGAACCCTGACGCCCCTGGGTGCGTCTGGCCCAGCTCACTGACCTCTCTCAACCTGTCATTCGCTGGGCTGGAGCAGGTGCCCAAGGGACTGCCTGCCAAGCTCAGCGTGCTGGATCTCAGCTGCAATCGGCTGAATAGGGCGCCACGACCAGATGAGCTGCCCCAGGTGGAAAAGCTGACACTGGACGGAAATCCCTTCCTGGACCCTGAAGCCCCCAAACCCCACGAGGATACAATGAAATCCAATGTGGATCGAGCCTATGTGAACTTGCTCCTGGCCATAGGACTATCAGGACCCCTGACACTGCTCCCAGTGGTCAGAGGATTCGCCTAGGACCCAGAGAAGGGAGAAAGACTGAATGGGCTAAAATTGTGTGTGTGTGTGTGGGGGGGGGGGCTGTCAGCAGGAGATGTCGACCAACCAACCCACCCTCTGCCCCATTTTAGTTATATTATAAGTAGCTGATCAGTGTTGTTTATTCAGCAGATCATTGTTCATTCCACAGACCTGTACTGGGTTTCTGCTAGGTGCTGGTCCTGATATCCATACTTTAACTTTCCTCATCCTAAGAGGTACCCTAGCCCCACCTGCTAACCAGAAGGCTGGAGGTTCAAACCCACCAGCTCCTCCTCGGAAGGAAGACTGGGCGATCTACTTCCGTAGTGATACCGCCTCGGAAACCCAAGGAGGGGTCGCTATGAGTCGAGTTCGACTCGACGGTACATAACAAAACAAATAAACAGCCCCCACCCAAGGAAAGAATTACAGGGGAGGATAGGCAGGGAAAATATTGGGGGGGGGGGTCCTGCTTCATGAGTTTCTGTGCAATCAGGCTTTCTGAGCAAAATACTGGCACCAGGATTAAAGAGTGTTTGATTGGTAAACATTCCTGGAAGATACAGAGCCTTTCCTGTCTGGTGTACTCCTAGTTCATCTGCTACCATTGTGGAAGAAGAAAATCCAGTACTCTGCTAGTAAAAAGCAGAACTTTATTGAGGAATAGCAGTTCAAACCAGGTAGCACAAAGTGAAATTACAATATACTCCAATCTGTTAGATTTTTCAGGGTGATTTTATATAGAAACAACAGGATCTAATAAGTAATTTTTCTGATTGGTTAACATTTACAAGGCTTTGTCTCATCAGTTACAAGGTTATTACGAAATCCCCAGAGTTTCGGTTGAAAGATCATAAAACAATTGAAAATAATTTGTTTTCCAAAAAGTGGTTAAACTTCAACTTCTTGGAGCCAGCCTGCACAAAACCACATGTAAGCAGTTTTCTGAGACTATTTTACACAGAAGGTATTTTTTGTCATGAGCTTCCTAGAACATTCTGATTGCAATCTTACTCAAATATCTTGTAAGCAAAGTCACATTCTTTAGTACTCGCTCAGTTGGTTTTTCATGGGCAGCACAAGGTAACTACTATTCAGTGAGTGTCAGCTCCAAATGCCTTTGTGTTTAGGGCCTAACACATCCCTCCCTTTTAATCAAGTGTCCACTAGGGGATGCAGGTTACCCACAACTGAATATCTCTTCTCTTGCAAGGGCTTCATTCCAAGGAGTTGTAGTAACATCAGTCAAAGAAAAGTTAATCCTTCTTCTTCACTTGGCAGTAGACAAAGCTGAATTGGAGGAAAGATTTTAGAGTGAGCGCAAACAAAAGAGCCAATCTATGAGTACTCAAGGAAAGGAAAGAAGGGCTTCTTTGTTCAAATTGATTTAGTTCACCTTTTGCATGTCAGTGATGGCAAGCATTGATCTACAGGTGGATAGATGGGTGAACAAGCTGAATGATTAGGTATGTCTAGACGGGGGAGTGTGCCCATGGCTGTGTATAGGGTTGGTAGACAATGTTTCTATAAGCTTATTTGTATGTGTTGTAAGACTGGGTGTATAGTAGAGCTGACAAGGGACAAGGTTGTGGTGGCTTCATG